CCATAAAAAATCAACCATACATCATGACCACACCCTTCATCAATCTCAAATCCCTAATTAAAACTACTCGCAACTCATAATTGAATTAACAATAAAATTGGGATGAAAAGAATTAATTACAATTAATTAAAAAGATGGAACTCACAAAGAATCCCACAATATTGAAGAACAAGGCTGAAAAAGCTCTCAAAAGTCGAAATAGGGTTTAAATCTCTCTAAGCCCCGTAAAGTAAAACAGACAAACCGAGACTGTTTAAATAGAAAAAGTGGAAAAAGAGGCGAAATCTTGGTCGCCCGCACGGCATGCGGAGCACCGTGTGGCCGCGAGTTAAAAATTTCCGCCTCTGACTTTTGCTCCGCCCGCACGGTCAGACCGTGCGGGTACTTTTGAGACCTGTTTCTGGACCACAGGGTGTGCAGTTCAGACTTTTTGAGTTCTAGCTCTCAGAATCACCCACGGGGCGTGAGGTACTGACCCCGCGGGGCTTGCGGGTGTCTCTTGAACCAATTTCTTGCTCTTTTATTCCCCGTTTGCTCCCGATCAATCCTATCTTCAATATGTGACCTTTCAAGTCTCAAATCATGCCTCTAAATCATCCCGTGGACCTCTGATGCCTCTTGCTATCTCTCGAACGCATCCCGAGTCTTCTCAACTTAAGCCCAAACGCCGATGTTGGTTCCGAATTCCTTCTTTTCTTCAAACAATGCAAACCAAACCTGGTAAAACGTGACTTGAGCTAAATAAACACTTTGTGATGCAAATAAATTAGGAAAAATGACAAAACATAATTAACATTTAGATAATACGGAGTAACATTTATAAAAAGTAAATTAGCTCTCGAGTTATTCGAACAATTATTAGGACCCTTTGTTATGAAGAATTTCTTCAATTCATTCCCATTATCATCTTATGATCACCCGTTGTACGAAGTATATAACTTTACACTCTATTCAAAGGCACCTTTCAAAAAGCATAAGCCATTTCATTGAAGTACTCGTACTCGTGAACCATTTCTGCTACGAATATAATTTTGCTTCATTAAATTAAACAAAGATTAAAGAAAAACTTTTGGTTTCACATTTTTACAAAGATTATTAAGTTAATGTAATCACTCGTTTTTACAATACACATTATATAGACTAAGAGGACGGTTTCCCTTCGGGAGTTTTGCTAGAGGTACACAAAATGTGTACACATGTCTGTTCTTCATAGAAACTTTGTCTGTCACAGATAACTCAATTTACTCAAGCAATTTTCTTCCCTTCGGAGACATTCGATAAAATTGGAATGATACAAAGTAAAATAGAAGGCGATCAAGTATAGGAATGTCTACAAATGACATGATCAAATAGTTTGTTTTTTTAAAAAAATAAACTCATAGAGATAAAACTTTCAAAGAAGCTAATTTTTTTACCCGGTTTTTTTTTACACTTATCAATCATATATTGAGGTAACAATGGAATAAATATACTTCCAACTTTTCCAAGTAACTTTGCGAAGCAGGAAGGGTGACCCAGAAAAGTCACAAATGCCAATTCGAGTGAAATGTTTTCTGAGCATGAAAGCGAACAAAAGGCAGAACAAAGGATGGTACATAGCTTTAAGGGTAAATTGACTTTTCATTTTCTGTTTTAAAATTATTGAGTACATCTCAGTTGCGAGTAGGGATGGTTCGGTATGGTATACCGAATATTTTCTCTCATACCTTTATGAGATCAAAACTTTCGGTATACATAATTTATATATCGTTACTTTACCGAAGTTTCGGTTTGGTATCGGTAAATTACCGTGCATGTCTCCCAATACAACATATTATCATAGACTAACGAAATATACGAAATCGTTATTACTAGTGACATATTTCATCTATTACTAAAATGTTACAAAATACAATTAATAATCTATTGATGCCAATTAGACAAAAAAAAATCGAATTAGTTCCACTTTTGGTCCTAGGAGTTTTGTGTCAATTCCACCTTTAGTCCACGTCTTTCACTTTATCTATTTTTGGTACTTGACTAATGTTTTTTTAACCGTTTGTGGTCCTTTTCCGGCAATTTTAACCATCGGAAAACAATGCAAGAAGGACCATATATGGGCGAAAACACAATAGTCATGTATCAAAAGTGGACAACGTGAAATATGAGGACTAAATGTGGAATTGATCTAAAACTCGTAGGACCAAAAGTGGAATTTATTCAAAAAAATCTATTGATGACAATTCAATATTGAATAATAATTATTATTATTAGTATATCTAAGCAGTTCAACATGCCACGTATTAAAAAAATAACACAATCTCCTAAAATAACTAGAACAATATAGATATAATTAAATCAATTGTGATCTCTAACAAAACTAATTAAACAAAATTTTCGAACAACATGGATATCAAATAATTGATTCCTAATATATATGATATTGTGTATTTAGTCATTTTTATAATTAAAAAATAAGACTTTCAGACAAAGTTGTGTACCTTGACTCGCGAAATCCCAATGTAGATGCACTCGTCACATAAGTGTATCCCTCTTCACTCGTCAACTACTCAGCGTTTCAGACATTGCGACTCACAAACTCTTGGAAGAAGATGGTCTTGTTTCTAGACATTAGTACATTACTCATTAGTCGTTAGAGTTAGTTTGTTTGAATGTTACGTAGTAGAAGCCTAGGAGGTTATAGTGGGTTTGGAAAATTGGACCTTTATTTTTTACTTTTGGTATTTGTAACCAACCTAAATATTAATTTTGGGATTCGGCATTGTAATGGGGTTTTATAATATTTTAAAAGTAAAAGTAATCATTCGGTAGAGAGTCGGTACGGTATTACACCAGTATACCGCGGTATTTGAAAACATTTACCGTTACCGTACCGAAGTAAATCGGTACGGTATGATACCGTACCGAAAATGACGGTATACCAATATTCCGGTATTTTACGGTATTTTTCGGTACGGTAAGTGCGGTATATCGATTTTTCGGTATTTTTGCCCATCACTAGTTGCGAGCATGGTTGAAAGATGAAAACCGAAAATCAATAGAGATTAAGGATATTTTTACTTGAACTGTTTTCAGTTTCAGATCATACCAGATCAAACTAACCAAACCAGATTTGAATAGTTATAAAATACAGAGACCATACATTTACCAGACCACCAACAAATTTCAGTCCAAGTAAAAACATCATAAGAGCATCTATTATTTGGTACCTTACATCCATCCTTGAAAAACTCCAAAGTTATTGATATAATAATTAATAAATAGAACAACTCTATTAATACTTGTTCAAAGCATCTATTTTTTTTTCAAAGCATCTTGGTGATATCATTATACGTATGATGTTTTGGATTGGACTGAAATTTTATAATTTGATCTATTTAAATGGTCTAATAAATATATGATCTGTGCATTTTATAACTATCGAATCTCGATCTGATCTATTTAAGTCTAGTCTTGTCTAGTCTAATCCGAGACTGATAACAATTCAAGTAAAAACATTGTAGTATTAAAGTAACCGTACTTATTAAAGTACTGTTATTAGAAATGTTAACTGTTACAAAAAAGAAATACTTTCCCCGTTCTTAAATAAATACAATGGTCAACATTTCACATTTGCCGAGACACAACTTTGACCATTAATATATATAAATTTCTATTAGTAAAAAAATAAAAAAAATTATATTTTGAAAATTTACAATGAGACAAATTTAAAAGTACTTTTTCCAAAAATATATATTAATACATTAATAAATAAATTGCGGCCAAAGTAGGACATGTGAATAATATAAAATTTATGTGTTGCATTATTCAAGAACAGAGGTAGTATCAACAGTCGTAGTATTAAAGTAACCCTATTTATCAAAGCATGTTTCGACTTGTCACGAAGATTTAAAAAGTGAAAATTGTGTGGTCTAAAATTATGTTGAGAGAAGAGAAATATCTAATACAATGTTTGATTTACACATTGACTTGAGCAGACAATAAATGTCTCGTCGCATACCATTAATGTTTTTTGTCCAAGATAATTTATGTCTTTTACAACAATTAATTTTTATGCAAATAACATAAACATCTATGCAAATTACAGAGAAGAATGTGCATACCAATGTTTTTGGACATTCAAATCAATGCATGTTTTTGCGTACTTTCAAATCATTATTTTTTACGCAGACACAAATTGTTCATATTTGTGACTAGGGGTGGACACAGTCAGACAATCTGACCCAATATGAAACCGGGTCCGGCCCCTATCCACCCAGGAGGGGTACCTGGTCGCAGTTCACATTTTTTTCGGTGTATTGATTGATTGCGATAAATGACGTCATACCTAGCATTGTAAAAAATTACTAGCGTCCCTTACATGAAAACTGGATAGTGAGAGTGTGGGACGCAAATGGATTCAAAATAAGGGGTGCAAAGTCTAACTTTCATATAAATATGAGGTGCAAAGACCCAATTTTCCTTTTTTGAATATCATATACTTCGTATGAAAGTTGTATTCGATCTTCCCACATGAGCAAGCAAGAATCCCCTAACATGGGATCCATTATTGAACTCTCTCTGGGCTGTCCACTGCCACATAACTGCATACCAGAGTTTATGTTTAGTGGTGGGTACGAATGGCTGAACAAAGCAACAGCTTGAAAGACGAATAAGGTAAGAAAAGAAAACGTTGAAAGGGCCCAAATGGAGCAAGTGTTGGGCATCACCTTTCACACAGCATTACAAGAAAGAGATGACAATTGACACGTACCTTGGCACCACACAGAATTGACAATTGTGGTTTGATGTTTCCTTTTGGACTAAAGAAACAGAGGATCTGGGGAAGCATTACCGCAATTAACAATGAATTTAGTAGTCCTCATCAATGAATTCAAGCATTGGTCACGGAAGGCTATCCCATAGTGTGGGCTCCAGGCATGTGCCATTGTCAAGGAAAAAAGTAAAGATCATAACTCATACACCACCTCCACTATATTCTTTAATACCTGAAGAACAGTTTCTGATTCAGACAGATTAAAAAAAATTACAAACCATGATTTACTATTTACTCGAATATACATAAAATCCCTATGCGGTTATATTACAATTGTTCAGTAAGAGATACGGAGTATCTAAGACTGGGCAGACATCATGACTATGATGGACTTGTACACTTACAGTATATAATTTGGACAATTATTACTTACAAGTTACACCCCAATACCATATAACATGAAAAGAAAAAGAAAAGGAAAATTCAAGTTGCGTAATATCTATGATACATATCACAACCAAAATAGTAATTGCAGCAAAAACATTCTTCATCAGGAATTCAACCAAACCCCATGACTTCAAAATTTATTCTTCGTGTCCAGATGGCAGCTCACCTTCACGGCAGTACGTGAAGTTTCCCATTAACTCTGCTGTTTGAAATTTTCTACGGGGATCTGATAAGAAGCCTCTGGTAACACTGACGAACGTACTGATACCATTTGGGAAGAAAGGGGCTGAGTGTAGTACATTTGTTGTGCATTTGTAGGATGATCAGTAAATTCATAAGCATAAGTTGCAGTAGTGGCAGCTGAAGCCTGAGATGGGTGATGATGCATATGAGAGAGACCAAAGTACTGCTGAGGATGTTGGCCAGAAGCCATTTGAACCCACTGTGGAGCCGTTCTGGAAGCCATTTCAGGTTTAGAGGCAGCAAAAGTTGTAGAAACAGCAGGTGTGTGGACAAAAGACGGCGAGGATGGTGTTTGAGGGCGGGTAGGGTTTGATGTAGGAACTGCTGGTTCACTATAACTTGTTTGCTGAACAGAATGCATATTGTAAGGCTGGGTTGGTCTAGCCTGCATAAAGTAGACTGGATACTGATGCTGATGATGTTCAAATGCAGGGTGGTTTTGGGAAGGATACAAAGGGTGGTGGTAATATGACGTCATCGGCACAGCCCCAGCAGGGATAAACTGTCCTGAATGAGCGTGTGGTTGTTGATGTTGATGAAGATACATTTGGGGGTGCTGATGATCACATTGGTTCGGCAAAACATATACGGAATCCTCAACTGCATGTTGTTGAGCCGGAGGCCTAGTACTCTGATCGCTAACGACCTTAATGTCAGCTGGATTGGATGAAGCTCTACTCACCAGTTGAATTTGGTTTACAGGCTCATGATAAATGTAATGCTTTTGTTGTCCAAGCAATGGGTTTGTGATACTACCCTCGCTGCATTGCAAAAGAAAAAGGAAAAATACCATCACCCCACCCCACGTTCCCAAGTTAGGTCATTTTATATCGAACACGCGTGAGCAAATTTTAGAATTAGAACTAAAACATAACAACTTCCTAAATAATACTACGTATATAGAATCATCATAGTAACAAGAGCTTCAAAATTTCATTCTAAGTGATCAAACATCAAACATTATAGAAATAGTAGCTCAGAGGGTCTATGCGAGTATACATTTTTGTATTTGTATATGATAGCTTAATATACCCCCAAAATGTAGTTCTGTCACAGAAGGCCAATCATATAGATTGAGTGTCCCAAAATATTATGCTTTTTATTTGGCAGATATGATTGATAAAAGTGAGATAGCTTAACACATGGTTTTTCCTAAAATTGAACTCATTCAACCCAACACAAGAATTATTAACCACTTCTATTCTTCTTTTAAGAAAGAATGAAATTAGGATGATCCTATTTGTACACATAACAGATGTTTTACTCTACTTGCAATTTGAAGATGTTAAGATGTGAATGCTATATACCTTGAAATTGAATCAGGTGGTGCAGGTATACTGGGTTGCATCATTTGCACAGGTGGCTGTGCTTGTGGAGGCTTTCTGTACACAACTTGATCTGATCTCTCCCCATCACAGAAACCCCTATTGGGATACTCCCCAGCAACAATTGCCGCCGGCGAACTGAAATCGTCTGTCCCTACCATAATAATATGAGGTGACTGTGGGGCTGGAGGCGAAGACAGTGCCGTGAAACCCCCGCCCTCCTCCTGCTGTTGCTTTTGCTTCTGCTCCACCCTGCCCCCTGCCACGAGAGTCATCTGCGAGAGCTGCTCCTCAATTCCTAACTTGTGATTCTCATCCACGTGAACCTTACTTGCCGGCGGTAAATTCCCCATGGACGACGATGATGAAGAGCCGAAAGAAGATGAAGTTGTTTCCACCATAGGCGAATCTGGGGGCACCGAGTGGACATCTTGAGAGGTAAATTTCGCACTGCTTACCCTACCATGTTTACCACTAAGGGAACCATCCAATTGACCTTCCGCGTCTTTAAAGTTCCGGTTTCCGACATTGTAGCCAAGTCCTAGAAGGCAATTCACCATTGAGGAGTCGGAGAACGCATTTGTGGAACTAGACTTTGTCCCATTACGCGCGCCGAGAACACAGTCGTCGGATTTCGTTGAGCTCTCAATAGGCGACCCGATCGACGACGGCGCCTCAGGCTTTGAAGGAAAGAGGAACAATCGGAGCCGAGAAGCTCTGGCGGTGGTTGAATTTGCGCTGATGCGGTCGTACTCGTCGATCATATTTTCGAAGTCCTCGTCTGTGGTGACGGAAATCAGAGAGTCGAGGTCCTCGTTGGGAAGCTGGTACTTCAGCGAGAAGGAGCGACCGTCCAGGAGCGTCCTGGAGAGGCGAAGCGAAAACTCGGAAAGGGAGGTACTGCGATCGGAGACGATGATGCGGGTATCGCCGCCGACGTAGCAGAGGGACTTGTCGTGGGGCCGGGGGACTATGTTCCCGCCATAGCTGCACATCACCCGTAACTTCCCTCCGCCTTGACCGGCGGAGTAGGCCGCCGGTTCATCCCAGGAGTCGGTACTGCGGGAGAAGGCCGGGTCAGCGTATATTGAGGTCAGCGGCTGAGAGGCTGCCGGAGCGGTGGAGATGTTTCCGCCGGAAGATGGCGGGGGGTCCATGCGTGACGTGGAGGTGAGAGGGAGGAGCAGGGTGTGATGAGGAGAGAGAAGGGAAAGAACCAAAATGCGAGGGGGAAGTATCGCCAGTGCAGGATGTTTCTTATACTCGTTACCTCCAGCTGTTATCGAATTTTTTCATCTAAATATCATTGTCATCTATTCTAATCTCATTTTATACGAGTAGTTTCAAAATATTTTCAATTCCTTTCTTAAGTGGAAGTTCTATTTGACAGGGCGGCTATCCTAGGGGTGGACCGGTTCCGGGCCGGGCCCGGTTCGGGCCTTGAACCGGCCGGGCCTCGGTTCAAGGTAGGGGAGGCCCGGAACCGGCCCGGGTAACCCCGGGTCCGGTTCTGGCCGGGCCGGGCCGGGCCCGGTTCGGTTCTATTTTTTTTTTGGGTTTTCCTAATCAACCCCCTACCCTCCCCCTCAACCCCAAACCACCTCAAATGGCCCAAAATATCCAATCCAACCGAAAAACTTAAAAAAAATTCAAAAAAAAAAAATTAAATTCGGCCCAGACTGGGCCCGAACCGGCCAGGCCGGTTCACCAGAATGAAGGCCCGAGCCCGGAACCGGTAGCCACCGGGCCGGGTCGACCCGAACCGCCCATGGGCCGGGCCGCCGGGCCGGTTCCAGTTCGGGCCGCCCGAGTCCAACCCTAGGCTATCCCCATCCCCTCCCTTTTGTGACAAAAAAAGTTTAAATATGTTTTAAGTCCCTGCAAATATAACATATTTTTTTTACTTCCCTGCAAAATTACTTTTTAGTCTTTCATTCCTGAAATTTATGATAATTTTCCTTTTAGTGCATCACTGATGATAACAACTTCCGTTTGACATAAAAACTACCCAGACTAAAAAACTTCAACTAATTCTTTGTCGTATTATTCAAAAAGTATTTAATTTTAAGTTTTAGAAGGTTTTTAATACATATTTGAAAAATGTGAATAATTAGTTTTACATTACTTTGACTCTCATATTTGTCTCAAAAAAATTATTAAAGGATAAATTTAAAAGTTTCTAATAGATTTATGCAATCGATAATAACTTTTTTCGCAAATTGAGTCGTTTCGGAGTAGGAGATGGACTAAAAACAAAGTAGAGGATATTACAAGGATGAAAAACAAAAATATTATTTTGCAGGGACCTAAAACAAAGTGTGTCATATTTGCAGGGACTAAAACTATATTTAAGCCAAAAAATAGAGGTGGGCATAAAAATCGAACTAAACCTGTACCGAAATAACTGATAATAATGGTATCAAACTGAACATTGAATATTAAAACAGTTCTGTAGATTTTTAGTCAAACAGAAATTGTACTGTTTGAAACAGGTGCGTGAACGGTTCAATATTTTGAGAAACGAAAATATCAGTTTGGACCGTTTAAATAATACATTTAATATTTTTATATTTTCCTCATTTCAATGGATCTCTTGTTCAGACAAAAAAAATAGCTAAATGTGTTTACATAAGTTTTACTATATGTTTCTTTTAGATAACGTATATTATATTTGTATAGATTGAAGAATATTCAGGTTTTGAAAATGACTATTAACTTTCAATTTTGTAGTATATGTATCTGACTATTTATTTTATCATATTTGTAAAGTTTTGCAACATAATTAATTCATTTTTTTGAATGAACTGTAAGTGTATTGAAAGAACCACCCCAGAAAAATAAAGAGGTTCAGAATGTACAAGCAAGAAAGGAAACAAAAAAAGTAGGTTATCCAACATGGATAACCCAACCCAAACAAAAAAAACTATAAAAGCTACTGCCTACACCTAACCGCAGTGAAGTTTAAGCACAACAAGCCAAAAAAAACACTCCAAACCCATGGTCAAACCAAGGACAGACTAGGTACAAGACAGTTTACAACTTAACTAGTTCTTGCGGATAAAGACTATACAAGATCTTGTAAACAATATATTGAATCCTAGTAAAAACATCATCTTCTTTGGGGATAAGGCCATCAAAGCATGTCGCATTCCGGGTCCTCCAAATCCAATAGATGGAGTAGCAAAAAGCAATCCTAGCCGCCTTAGATTTGATTCCTGAGCCTTGTCTTTTTCTCTTGATCCATTTCAACGAGCTATGTAAGGTCCCCATCTCCCTAGGAATGTCCAGCCAAATCTTCACTCTTTGCTAAACTTTCCCTGAAAAAGAACAAGTTAAAAATAGGTGTGGTACCGTTTCCGGACCACCCTTACACAGAGGACAAACATTAACAACATCTAATCTATGCAAGTTATCAAGAGTAGCAAGACGGTTACGAAAGGCTAACCAAACCGTAAATGAGAATTTAGGGGAGATATAATTCTTCCAGATGAAAGACATCCACATGTGAATGCCCCCCCCCCCCCCCCCCCTAATTCTAAGCAAGTTATAGACCATGGCCGAGGGCAGCTTGCCATTAATTTGGAGACCATTAAGATGGTTAATGGCATCATGGGTGTTGTGAAAGTGAGATACAATCTGATCTCTAATTAGAGCAATCTTTTTGATCAGTTGGGAGTCTCTTTTATGAGGTGTAAACTCCCAAACACCTCTACCATTAAGGTAGACGCCATGAATGTATCTAACCCAAAGATCATTCTTTTTTATGGATATCCCAAAGGGTTTTGACAAGGAGGACAGAATTTTAAACATATGTATCATGAATGCCCAGGCCTCCTTCCTCTTCAGGGAGGCAAATATTAGCCCACGCAACTCTAGCATACTTGCACCCCAAAGGAATATACGACAGATAGAAGTTAGTCTATCAAGGACAACCCTAGGAATGGGTAGTGCTTGTAGCCAGAAAGAATGGACACCTTGAATAACAGACTTGATAAGCTCAACTCTCCCAGCATAAGAGAGAGTTTTTGGTGTTCCAAGCAGTGATATAGTTTGTAATGGAATCCAACAAAGGAGCATATTGGGCAACAGAAATTTTCAAAGGGGCCAGCGGTATGCCCAGGTATCTAACAGGGAAAGTCCCTTCTTTAAAATCAATCATATCCAAAATATAGGCAAGGTCATGATCAGCCAAACCACCAATAAAAATGTTGGATTTATCAAAGTTAACTTTAAGACCGGAAACATTCCCAAACTCGTTCAAAGCATCGATAAGGAGTAAGGACTTTAATAGAGGGGAAATCCCCTCTATAAAAGAGCATAAGATCACCGGCATAGGCAACATGGGAAATCTTGAGTTTTCCACATTTAGGGTGGAACTTAAAAGAGGAAAGCTTGGTTCTGTTGTGAAGAAGTCTAGAAAAATATTCAAGGCAAATAACAAAGAGGAGGGGGGACATGGGGTCACCTTGTCGTAGCCCCCTCTTGCCTCTGAAGTTACCATGAAGGATTCCATTAATAGAAACAGAGAAGGATGGTGTAGAAACACATTCCATGATCCAATTAACAAATTTATTAGGGAAGCCAATGGTCAACATGACATTATACAAGAAATCCCAAGAGATAGTGTCATAAGCTTTCCTTAGGTCCACCTTGATCATAGATCTAGGGGAAATATGCTTTCTAGAATAGCCCTTAATAAGTTCTTGGGCTAGAAACACATTATCGAGCATAAGTCTCCCATCAACAAAAGCCCCTTGGGAGGGATCAATAAGCTCGGGCAAGCAAGGGATCATTCTAGAAGCAATGATCTTAGTAATGATCTTGTAAATGACATTAGTACAGGCAATAGGTCTAAAGTCAGCAGCAGTAGGGTCATGAGAAGTCTTAGGGATAAGCGCAATAACCGTATGGTTAAGTTGCCTTAAAAGCTTCCCAGAGTTAAAGAAACCTCTAACGGCCAAGACAACATCATGCCCGACAATATTCCAATTGTGCTTGAAAAAGGCCGAGGTATAGCCATCAGGTCCAAGAGCCTTGTTATCTCCAATATCAAAGAGAGCGTTCTTAATTTCAATGCCAGAGACGGGAGCAATCAGATCATCGATTTTGCAACTATCCAGGCAATTACCAGAAAGAATAATGTTATGATCAATATCCTCATTAGGACAATATGTACCAAACATATCAATGTAGAATCTAACAAATTCATACGCAACATGGTTCAGGGAGGTGGTAGAATTCCCATTATGCAATTTAATAGCCGTAATGGAGTTTTTAGCCACATTTTCCCTCACAATAGAATGAAAGTACTTAGTGCCACGATCACTTTGGAATAATTGATTTGATTTCGCCTTTTGTCTAAAGAAATCTTCCTCAGCTTTTTTAAAGTAGAGAGCATTCTTTTTTGCCAAAGCAACATCATGTTTAATGCTTTCATCAAGAGGAGAAAGTAACAAAAGAGCATGAACTCTTTTGTATTCATTTTTAGCATTCTTCGCTTTATGAGAGATGTGTCCAAAGGCATTGAAGTTAAGCTCTTTTCAGGGACCTTTAAAGGTCTGTTTGCAACAGCTTCTGCTTTTAAAAAAGTGCTTTTTTAATGAAGAATGATGAGTTTTTCTATTATATTCAACAATATGATGACATTCTTTTTAAATTTTCTCGTGAATTTAATGAAGATAATGGTATCTGATGTATCATCATTTAGCTAGCTATACGTTTCCTTAGTTGTTTTGCACTATTTGTGTATTTGCAAAATTTAATGATAAAAACGTAAGTCGCTTGAATCTTTAGTATCAATTAGTATGCTCTTCCTTTTATTTTTTAGGTTTAAATAATTTTTAGTTCTTGCAAATATAATACATTTTCTTTTACGTTCCTGCAAAATTACTTTTGTTTTTGTTTATCCCTGAAATTTAAGTTGGTTTTCTGTTTAGTCCATTACTGATGATAGCATCATCCGTTTGAGAAGAAAACAACACTGGGTAATAGGCTTCTTCTAGTTCTTTATCATGTTATTCAATGAGTATTTTAAATGTGAATACTTAGTTTCACATTATTGTAACTCTCTTATTAGTCTAAAAAAGTATAAACATACAATTTAAAAGTTTCTTGTGGATTTATGCAACCGGCAATAATATTTTTCTAAATAAAGTGGTTTCGAAGTTGGAGATGAACTAAAAATAAAATAGTGCATATTACATGAATGAAAAAAAAATTGCATGAACCCAAAACAAAATATGTCATATTTGCAGGGACTAAAAACGTATTTATGCTC